CACAAGAATTTCATAAAAGCAGAGAAAAAAAAATTTAATTACACCCCTTCGCTCGGTACAACTATGATTTTATTATGTATAAAGCAACACAAGAGTTTCAACTCACCAACGCAGGTTCGATGTAACGTTCAGCGTGCATGGGCCGCTGGGTAAAAGCAAGGAAGTTTCGTCTAGTAGAGTATAGTTATGACATTTATTCCATTCCTGATGCGCTTATTGATCTTTCAACGAACCAATTCGAATGTCACCATTGATAATGTTTGCAGAAAAGCCAAAAAAGTAAAATATCTCACACCTCCTGCACCTGGTGCACAGGACTGGTGAGCGCCATGACACAACAGATCCGCAGATATTGAAACACGTTTGAATGTGAACATAACAAATTTGTTTTGTATTTGCAAAGTTAATAAATCTTGTTTAATTAAAACATTTTTTTTTTATTTTATATTTTTATGGACATGCGGTAAGAAACAAAGATTGGAAAATCATTCCGTGCGGTGGTATCGTGCTCTTCTCTATGCCGCGAAACACAAACAACATGGCGGTAGAGTGATGGCGGCCCGTTGTCTTTTTTGAGGATGTACTGGGTGTACGCCCACTGCAGACATACAGTGGGTGCGATTTTCGGACGTAAGGAAACGGTGGTGGTAGTGGTGGTGGTGGTGGTGGTGGTGAGGGGGAAGGGGGGGAGGGAAGGGCAGCAAGGGCACAAACAACGGGCCGGCATAACGACAAGTATTGTTTGTGTCGCTTTTTTTTAAAGTGTTTTTAATGAACAGTTGGGGGCGGTCGTTTGTTTGCTGAAACGTGCGACTAACTGAGTGCCATCCCGTTGTGTTCTGCTCTTTCAGAAAAGAATATACGTTATACTCTTTCTGCTATTGACTAGACACAGAATGGAAGAGGTTGATACGACTATTTATTATTGTAAAAAATAGACACAGCACAATAAAAATGCTGACCGAGAGGCACATAGAACGAGCGCTGTGTTTACATGGTCGGACACAACGGTATGTGTAATGTCATTCATGTGATGCATCACAAAAGGTCCATAGGATCCTAGAACAGATACTACATACTACTGAAAGCCAGAGCCAAACTTCAACTTAAGACACTCTTGAAGAACACGGAACATACCGCGGTGTATGTAATCAATGTATCTGATGGAACGTTGGGCTGTTCTGAAGTTCTCTCGGTGCGTGAATCTTGTGTATTAAACTGAGTGCACTGTGCACTTGCCCCTTTTTTCTTCTTCTCCCCCCGGACCCTTATAAATTATTTTCCTAACCACCGTCTTTTTTCTCCTCTCCTAGCTGTCATAAATTCTTCATGTCGTGCCATATTCCTTGGGGTCATACTGACATCTCACTGTATAAACTTGCACAACATCCGACTTGCTTTGCTTTTGGGGAATCGGTGGGCTAGCGCACACCAGCTCGGAGCGCGTGGAGCGAAAGTTCGCAATGCAGAACCCAGGGCTTAGGTTCAATCCCTGCCCGCTTCGACCTGGATGAGCATCGTACCGGCGCGCGGATGTGTATCACTACTCCGTGGTGCACGTTAACGACCCCAGGCTAGCGGTTGTACTGCACTGGCTAAATTGCTCACCTACAGCGAGTGACTCGTCGCAACTCTAAAATGGCTGAGTAAATACACGTTGTATAAATATTCACACAACCATTTATTTTAGATGTTGATGACCTGTACAACATGCGTTCGTTTTTCACCACACGCAAAAAAAATGCAGAAAAAAAAAAGAAAAAACTAACAGCGTTTATTTTCTTAGCCAGAACAAGCGGCCACCTGATCTGGAGCCGAAGCACATGACACGCGCTGACTTCCAGATATTGTTATGGTTCGGCTACTGTCGTCATTGCAGCGATTGGACACGGGCCACTACCCGAATGCTTGTCGAGCTATTGATTATCACGAGCCCAAATCGAGTGCTCACGCAATGCTCGGGTCCAATCTATGAGCCACATTAAAATATCGGCACTGGGGGATACTGCGATCCCCCAGCTACGTCATCAACTTTTGCAAAGGAGAAAACACATGCTTTGCCCCCCCCCCCCCCCCCCCCTCCACCCCCCGGTTGGTACGCCCTTGCAACTCTCTGGGACAAGTCCTTTAAAGTGAAGGGAGCGAAAATATGATATGGACCAAGGTATACGAACACACTCCGTAGCTTCGACCACGAGCTTCGACCCAAATTGCTTAGGCAAAATAATAACAATAAATAATCCGAAAACATCGTCCCAGCAAAAGCTTATATTCAAAACAAGCTTACACTTAATTGACGCAAAAAGTGTTTGCAAATGTATGTTATGAGAGTCACACTTAACCATAAATTGGTCGCTGCTTATTAAAGAACAATACCAATTTGTTACATCTTTCGAAATTTCCTTCGAGCTTTTCGGCATGTTCAGCGCTTCCTTGTACACGAGACAACAACTATACCACCATAAACCACTAAATCAGTGACAGATGGATGATCGCAGAAGTATACCACGGGTGCGGCACTACTCTGCACCGAATGTGGTTATCTAGGAATAAGATAATATAAATTAATTTACTTATACATTAATGCTGTCTCATCCACAGGCAACTCAGTGTCTAATACAATATGCATAATGGGTGCGACTTATACCGTGAATTATTTATTATGAAGGTAACAACCAGGGCATACATGCAGGGCAGAAAAATTGTCCGGAGCAGTGGTTCTCAAGCATTGATGATTTGCGGACCTCTTGTGAATCGGCGGATATGATGGAAGACCCTGTTCGTGGTCAGGGAAAGGAAAATGTATGGTTTAATTACAAAAATGATTTAATAAATGGATATAACTAAGGGCTAATGTAGAGTAGACTTCTTTTAGTGACATGTACACGAGAAAACTCACTCGAAAATTGTAACGTTTCTTCTGAATCTCAGACAAGACAACTTTTATTGCTGGGCTTGACTGATGAGGCTGGGCTTCGCGGACCCCTAGAATACCTCCGCGGACCCCCATTTGAGAACCACTGGTCTGTAATAAAGGATAAATTCAGCGCAAAATCCTGCTGGTAAGCATCAGTGATCGGTCGAATAGAGCTTCACACTGTCGCACATGACGCCATTCCGCGCTTGCACGCGTTAAACGATACCAAGAGAAGCGCGTTCCGACATCGTTTTATATGGGATGAATTGGGGTGAAAAAGCGACCAGAGCTATAAAATGTACAACAAACTAACTATGGCATAAAAGGACGACGGAGACATATTGGGATAAAGGGAGGCTCAATGACGGTGGCCCGTGGTCTGCAACATGATTATCAAGTGTGCTCTAACGTTGTAACAGCTTATCTAAAGGTTGTAGCAAGATCAGTGGCATAGACAGGAATTGTTTTCGGGGCGGGGTGGAGGGAGAGAGAGAGGGGGATGAAATGCTTCTGCGAAAGAGGGGGGGGGGGCCGAAGTGAAGCCCCATAAGCCTCCCCCTGTCCCGTGCCAATTTAGCTTTGTTCTAGTATACACCTTTCCAATGTTCACAAGTCCACAGCCCAGCGTACAACTCCAAAGCCTACACTGTAAAAAAAAACCGTAAGTTAACAGCCTTTTTCAAAACTGGAAAGCGCCGTGAGAGGCGCGCACGGACAAAACGCCGTAGAGGCGACATGACGGCTCGAGTCCGTAAATGTACGGCTTCACATATTTCTTAGTTCAGGTCTGTGTTCCCTTTTCTTTGAAGTAAAAACACATAACACACGCCACGTTTGCTCTAGAGATAGTTTTCTTGTTGGCAGATGTCTCATGTTACGTGCCATTCGTGCCAATGCTAAAATCTCTTTCGAACGGCGGAGGGAGACCCACCCAAAGGCCGGCGCACTCAGCTCGCGGACGACGACAACCGAGCAAGGAGCGCCGTCCATCACGTGATGTTTACTTCCCGGTCTGTATGCTCGCTCGCGCGTGAACCACCACGGGCGGGAAGGGCGGCAACACTCTTCGTCGTCGCCGCGATCATCTTTCACCATTCAACCGGACTAAGAAGGTAAGCCAGCTCATTTTCGCATGCGCCTTGCGAGATAACCGAAGTGCAGAAGGAATCAAAGACGCGTTACTTAACGCAATGGCGCGGGCTGAGTCAGAAAACGCGCCATATTTTTTGCTTTAGCTTCCGGACTCAGTTGCGCGAGGGAAACGTATCCACGCATCAGACTCGACTTGATGGACGTGTGCAGGCGCAGGGCTCATCGCCATGACTGTTTGGTTTGCTCTGGGCTGAGTGGGCTCTCCCGAACTCCTTCTGTTCGTACCTTTTGCTTCCGGGCGCCGTCACCCTTTCGCTTTCGGGCGCGGTAAGAACCGGAGAAATCAGATTTTAACATGAAAGACTGAAGCGCGCTCATTGAATAATCATAATGAGCGCTGTCGCGTACTGAATTTAAGAGCATGTCGTGTTTTCTCTAGTTTATACACTGATGTTTAGGACAATTGCCGGATCGCGTACCCCCGCTTGATCGCTGCAGCCCGAGTGCGGCCACCGGACGGCAATCTTGCATGTTGAGAAAGCGCGCTTTGGGAGCGTTGCTGAGGCTGGTGGCAGCGTGCTGAAGACACGGCTTCTACTCGTTCGTCGTCATTCACCGAAGAAGTTCTTTAAAACTATGTAAGATATGAGACTTGCGAATGAAAACACGTGACAATGTTTACGGAAGCGCAGTGCAGCAGAAAAAAGGCACAACTCGTCGAAAGCAAGTTTCGCCGGTCTCGCGGCATGTTCAAAGCTTCCTTGGCACCCCGAAGCGCTGCGTCTCTATGCCTTCGCACGCTTCGATGCCGGTCAAGAATCGACACCGTGTGAATGTGTTTTGCGAGTGCAATGTGGCTGTAGCCGTATGTGCCCCTGGAGCAGGCGAGCGCCTATCCAGAGATCTGCCCGTGCCTAGATCTGGGGACAACGCCAGCGTAGGGAAAACCGCTCGTAGGGAATCCGTTTGCGTAGTGGTGATGATGATGATAATTATGTCATATAACACCTGAGACTGTGGTCGAAGAAATTGGAAACATTTTAGTAGAAAGATCGGACACAAAAAGGGACGTCTCAAACCCAGCTAACTGGTTTATTTCTCGACCATCCTATATCATGATAGCTTCACGAATGACTTGCCCACTGGCGCCACACTGGCCTCGCTGTTTTCAACGGTTCTCAGGTTGCCGGGGCGGCTTGTTTGAACTGTTTGAACCACAGGTTTGAACTGTTTCAACAGGAGTCATGGCAAATCCACTTGGAGGCTTATTTAAACCAAAGTCCCGCTGGCGGGAAAAGATAACGGACTGAGCAGCACTACGTGGCCTCGCAATCCCAGCGACCCGACGAGCTCGCAGTGGTGCTCGGAAGACGACCCTCCCAAAGCCGACGACGCGCACTCGCACGTACATGCGCAAGCGATCACCTCTGTGGACAGCGAAGAAACATCGTCGCACTGTGACAACTTTGTTGGCGTTCGTTTCATAAAACCCGTTCTATAAGGTATGTGTTCAATCTTCATTATTTTACCTGCGCAGTAGAACCGGCCAATATCTGAAAGCTGAATCAGCCTGCACGTTAAAATCGTGAAAACACGGCAAAGCGAATCTGCTGCGTCCTCAACCCCTTTTACCATGACACTGGATGTCTTAGCAAAGTCTTGTGTGTTTATCGCATCATAAATGCAAATGTGCCGTGTCCGCAATCCGCGGTATCAGTTCCCGTTTTATGTGGTTTGTAGCGGATAGCCCAGTGGCTTATCGCGTTTCTTTTTAATAAATTTTGCTGTCGTATTCTTAAGGATAGCCCACCCCATGTTTTTCCCAATTTATCTCTTCATTTTGGGTGGGCATCCTTACGGGATTTTACGGTAGTTTTGCTTAGTCCTATGCATAAGTCAATGTCCTTTCCACTTTTCAGGAGCTTGTGTCCACCCTGAAAGGCCTGGCGAGCCACGTGCTCGTATTCAAGCTGGTGCCACGAGGTGGGCCTTTCGGGCATGCCAGGGAGGATGAGAGGCTGTCCCTGAACCGCCTACTAGTACGGAAGGTGTTGCCCTCGGCGTTACCATCGTGAATGTCGACGTAAGTACATGGAACTTTCACCCCTGGTGCACTGTCCTTTTGAGTTACATGTGACATGCCCCTTGTGACGAGATGTTATCTTCCGTGTTATTGGTAGCCAGGCATTCATGATGCCTCTGGAATGCTGTTCATTGAGTGACAAGGTTGGGCAGATATAACCTAAAAAGCATTTGAAATGACGAATACTGGAATACACAGCAGTGACAGCTAAAGTACTGATACTAAAATTCATTTATAAAAAGAGCATTGCAAAACAACTCAAATATGTGTGACCAAAAAAATAGGTGACAAGGTATCTTTAAATACGTTTTATTTGAAGGAGACATCCTGATACTGAAATATGGGGGGGCAGTCAGTTCATTGAACGACGTTTCATTGACAGTTCGTTTCATCGACAGTTTGTTACATCGACAGCTCAGATAAGCTTTTTTTTCTGTAGTGACTCCCCGCAGAATGTTGCCGCTAAGCAGCTTGAGTGGGTGGGCCCACTGATCTCTACTATAGGGGGCTGGATGGCGCTTAGCTGCTGTCCGAGCCTGGCGCAAGTGAAGCCACCGGAAGTTTGATTCTTGTCCCGAAAGTCGGGCGTGCGCTGGTCTTCCTAGTGCATTCAGTCGATATTTTGGACCATGCTTTTTTGTGTCTTTGATTGGGTTTTAATACTCCCGTTCTGGATTAAATTCCGAGAATGCGGCATTTGAACTTGAGACATATTCACAACTTTATCAACTAGAATCTCAAAATGTTTACATTGAATGGCTTCCCATGATGCTTCTCGGGTCTGCATGCGCTCTTAATGTGCAACAAGCAGGCTCTCTTGAGGGAACAAGCGAAAATCCAGCGCCCTCGACGCTTTTCGAACCAGCACTCGGAAGGGTTACAAAGCCTGCCAAGCGCTCACTTCCGGGACAAGCCGCTCACCTCTGGTGGCTTCATACTTGTTTGCTCAATGCACCATCCAGCCCCCTCTAGTGGAGATCAGTGGGTGGGCCAGGTATGTTAATATTTCTGTAGTGAGCCGCCACAGACGGTCACTGCGAAATGACGTAGACGGGCGGGCCGGGTAAGTTAATGCGTGCCCCAGTGACATGCACAACGAAACATCAGAACACCGTACGGTTAACGGAACGATTGTCGATGGCATGTCAGTGTCGACGAAATGTATGTCAATATGTCGTTTGATTAAAAGTTGTCGATGAGATGTCTGTCGATGAAACAAAACAGATCCCAAAATGTAGGTTGCCACAGTAGCGGGGTTTGCTGTAAAATGAAGCAAAAAATAATAGTCTGGGTGCAGCGAGCTTCATATTTTGTCACAGGTGTGTTGCAGTGGTGGATGTTACCATGTGAAAGTTAAAGGCACTAATTTGTTTGTGCGAAAAATCGGAAGAATATATGCAAGATTTTCAGTTATCGGTCGAGGGTTGTGTTTCGTTCTCATGTTGAGAGATGGCACAGCACATCACGGAAAGTAGACCGCACTGTGGAGCAACGGGTCTATGGCAGGGTGTCTCGACCCCAATTGCGTTTTTCTGTTGTGGCTTTCATGTCTGCGTGCATGGCTATATTGTCACGAATAACAAATGGTGAGGCGGCGAATAACTGACAAAACTAAACGTTTAACGGGGAAAACTTGTGCCCAAAACAAAATAGAGAAAGGCTAGTGTCGCAGACGTCGAAGCAGCAGGATTGAGCGCTAGGAAGAGACTGACTTCGCTCGCCATGCGGAGTCCCTTTTGTAGTCACGTGGGTCTCTGGAACATTCGGCCTAGACATTTCGGTGCGTAGAACATTCGTAGCTTGATCAGACAAGAAATTTCTCGAATTTGCGAGAACGCCAAGTAGAAAGAATAAATAAAAGAACATTCCGCTGCCTGGAATCAAACCCAAATCTTCTGCGCTACAATCAAGTGCAGTAACCATTTGGCCACGTACGCGCTCGCTCAGCGACGTGTGTGGCAATATTAGAAGAAAGCTGTGTTACAGCAAGATTATCTTCAGCCTCGTCGGACTCGCCATCACGGGTTTTTCTAATTGCAGCACATTGCTCCATCTCCCAACAGAAGCACCAAACATTGCTTTCGGCCATCTGCGTCCTGACGCAGGTTGCTGATGCTTTGCAAAAACAAAGCTGCACCTTTCGATTCCACAAGGTAACACCCATCACTAATGTAGTTTGACAGAACCTTCAAGCTTGCCTTGTGCAGGTGTTACTCTTTCCAGAGAATTCTACAGCTAGCTCTGCTACTGGTATCACATTATGCATACTTTGAGATATTCTAAATGTCATATTCTGTGTTATTGACAACCAGGTATTCATGATACCAAGGAAGATCACTCCAGCCATATATATTACTTTTTACATATATATTATGCAAGCAACACAGACCAAAAGAACAATTGCTACACTCACTTGCATTTGTGGATGAGCTTTTCAAATGATGTCCAATCAGTTAGCACCTGTCGATTTGGGCGGAGGGCCGTGGAGCATTATGTTAGCGCCTGTAAATACGCTCTCGACAGTTGCCGATAAAAATGGTGTTCTGTGGTTTGTTTGTCTTCTAATCTTTGTCCATGCTTTATGCATTGCTTCTTTTACTGTTGTCAATGTTAACTTCATCTCCACATCAGTTTTTGGTCCTCCTAAATTATCTTGAGGTGTCTCCATGCTCTGATATGGTGAGGTTGCCTTTTCAGTAATGATCTTGTGACGTCACGATGGAAGGAATCGCTGTTCTCTTATCTATTGATAGTATTTGAAAGCATAAACTCTGCTCCCCTCCATCGATATGACACGAAAGTGCAGAGCACACCTGTAAAGCTTGTGCTTGCAGTGCCTTAGATGTTCAGAATCTAGATGAAGTTTCATGGAAAACATTTGTTATTCTTTTAAAATAAAAAATAGCATCTCCTGTTGATTAACCTTATAATGCTTTACATTTTTTAAGCAGACCTTATATGAAACAGTTTCTTATATTTATTATTCTATCATAAAGATAATTCACACTGTTTTTATTCACTGACCTTGTTGCAAACCTTGCAAAAGGAACAAAACAGTATGTGATGAGGTGCACTCGTCATAAACCACAAAAGGGCAGATAACTCGTGGCAAGCTGCGCTTATCATAAGCCGTTAAGATTTTGCGTAATCAATTAATTATGCCCTGAGAGTCCTCATGTACAAAGACAGAATGTTCTGATCAGATCCTGGTCTGCAAGGTAACAAAGCCTCGGTGGCGTCTTCACAACAGTCTCCACTCATCTAAAGCAAAAAAAAGGCTTTATTTTTAGTTTCCAGTTTATTGATTAATTGAAAACATTAAGGAGCTACATTGGGTTTTGATTGTATTTTTATACCACAAACACACCCAAAATGAATTTTACTTAGTAAATATAAATAACCTATAACTAGGCCGTATATCCTCCGGTGTTTATTTATGAGAAAAATCGGCGGATGTTTTTCATTGTTTATTTATTTTTCAAACATTGGTGTCTTTTGACCAGAGTTGGGCCAAAGTACTTAATGTACTTGGGAATACAAATGCTGGGATACATCAAAATAGCTAAAATAGTGATACTTATATATATCTGTAAAAATGTATTGTGATATGCATCGGAAATACATTTTAACAAGGAGCAAAATGTATTTGGAAATACAAATGCAGGAATACCTCTTAGAGATGGCAGAAATACAGATACTGAAATACATTTTTCCAATTTGCTTGAGGTGCCAACTGTCATATCATAGGCAACAAATTAGTCAGGAGGTGCAATGAAAATCATTCTTGCTTTGTCTGTTGTTTTACACTGAAGCGATACAAAAGAAAGACATGCAAGTGCCAAACTCGGTTACACTTGAGGAGCAGGAGCTTCTCAAATAGCCCACCTGTGAGCCATTGCCCATTCAAACGCAACGTCATGTTGGCAAAAAAAAAAAAAAAATAGCTGCTCAACAGTTGGTTCATATTAAATCAAAGAAACAATACTTTCACAGCTGGGAACCACATTTCTTCACTAAGAAATGCGCCGCTCACAGCGCATTTCTTATCTTCGCAGAATAGAGAAGAGGTCGCATAGACAAATATTTCTGGGAATTGGAATGAACGTTGGTCAGCATAGTAACAATGCCCCAGCGTCCCCTTAAAAAAAAACAAGTCAAGATTTTTTTTTTTTTCTTGGGGGGGAGGGGGGGGGGGGGTGGCAGAAGCATGGTGGAAAACATTCTTCAGTTTTGCAGAATAAAGAAGGGGGTTGCTAAGATCCGACACAAATAGTTCCGAACAAACCTAGGTTCGCATGATAGCAAATGCACAGCATACCCCTCATAACGCCCTCTGGCCTTCTCTAGCGAAACAAAAAAAGTTGTCATCTTCTTTATCCAGAGGTGGGGGTTATTTCTCAAGAAATGTAACGAAATACATCCCATCTTGATTGTATTGCGGTACTGAGAAACATCCCAAATGCATTTCGATACAGAAGTACAGATAGTGGTGAAAAAGAAAGTGTTGCAATACAGAACTACAGACACTAAATGTATTTCTGAAATACTATTGCAATACATTTGTATTGCGATACTGCACAACCCTGCTTTCGACTTGTTGTATGATGTAGACGCTAAAAACAGCGATGAGCGGTGAAAAAAAAAATTGGTTTGGGACAAGTTGCTTTTTTATCTGCCGTCCTCTGACATGAACCAACAAGGACGTTGTGACTGTTGGTAGTAACTGTCTAACCCACCTCTCGGGCCCTTGTGCTCCAAGGTCAGCGATCCCACTGATTGGAGACCCCAGTTTGCTTAATTCTTGGTAGCAAAGCAGGCTCAGCAAATGCCTAGAATTAGGGGTTTCAACCAAAATAGTAATCGCCTAGCGCCAAATCGTCCCCAAAAACGGTGTTTTTCTGTTATAACCGATTTTGCATTTTCGTCATCGGCTGATGTTTCTCGGTATTTTTAGGTTAGAACTGGAAAGTCACAACCTACCGATAACTTGGGTTCTGTGTTTTCTGAGAATTTTTTTTTTCTCGAATTTGAGGGTACTTTTTTTTTTGGGGGGGAGGGGGGGGTGGTAATTTTTTGTGCAGATTCAGTGTTTTTTGTGTAAATTGGTTATGACTTCAACCAATTTACACAAAAACACAGAATCTTTGGAAAAAATTAAACATCGAAAAAGAAATACCCCCGAATTCGAGCAAAAAAAGTTAACTCCGAAAACACTGAACAAGATCAGCGTTTTCGGTTTTTATTATTTTTTTTTTAATTCGGCATACATTTATTGGTTTTTATTTCGAAATCCAATATTTGGTTTTTATCAGTTAATATATGCCAGAAAATTTATCTTTTTTCTTTTTCAGTGAAATGTATTCTATTACACCTGTTCTTTTATAAGCACTCAGCGATGGATACAGTTGTAGACAGGTCAAAAAAGCATGTGTTTAGGTCAGTAAGTTCCTTGAAAGTTCGAAAATCCAAAAAATAGGTAATTATGTCAGGAATACAACAAGATAGATTAAAAAAAGAGTATACCATTTGTGAAAGTAACATGTATAGAAGGCAGTTTTAAACTCTGACAGAGTTTGAAACTGCCTCTATGCATTGGGAAGTTCTGAAACATTTTTGATAAGAAACTATTCAAATCACTTCTTAAAATCACAGTGAACTTGGCACACGAGGACCGGTCCCCAAGGAGAACAGAAATTTAACTCGGAAGGCGAGCCCGAGTACTGCACCTTGATGTCTGTGTTTACAGTTAGATCCTCCCCTGACTAAACGAAAGTGGACCCCAATAATAAGCAACCAGCCCCATAAAACATTTGCAATGAGTTAACAACCCCACTCCCTGCACGTACACACCCACACACAAAAAAATATAGCTGCACAATTAGATCTAAAATACTGACCCCTACCTAAACCTATAATGTTCATTGGCTGCTTCCAAGTTAGACACGTGTGTCCTGTGTGGTTCCAAGGAGTGGTCACAACCCAACTTTGTTTTATGCTATGAATTAATTCATTCGCTGATGTTTCAGTACCTCTTCTCAACCGAGGCAACATGGTCAACCTCGACAAGCTGGCTACCGACCAGTACCACGTGTGCCGTGTCCGCGGCATCCAGCGTCTTGCATTTGCGCTCGGCAAGGCACTCGCAAAACTTTATGGTAATTCTATCCTTGGTGGGTGCTGTGCCCCATTCTAACCTTTCGAAGTCCACAGGTGTTTAAGATGTGGAGCCTGTGGCCAGTGGGGAGGTGTATGTCTCCAATTTGCCAGACCCTAGCACTAGCTAAGTTACCGCCGAATTCACAAACCTCATTTCAATTGAGGCGCCCCTCCACTTCCTCAAGGAAGGTGTGAGGGCCGGTGCTGGGGGGGGGCCAGTCGCGACGACAATTAGGCGGCCTAGGCTGCTTAGCCGTCCTCGCGATTGGCCAGTGCCGTCCCTCGTGCCTTCCTTGAGGAAGTGGGGGGGTGCCTCAATTGGAATAAAGGTTTGTGAATTCGGCAGTTAGTGTCTCTTTTCCCCTATGTGCGATCCCAGCCATTATGAGCTAGAATGAAGAGCTTTCCTACAAGAACCTTTCTAATCCGTTATTTCAAAGTTTGTTTATTTCTGAAGAGCATCTCAGTGCCTGCATTTTGATGTCATAATACTCTACTCTAAGATCTCAAAAGGTAGTCCACCCCTATTTTTGGCTTGATTTGCTTTACTTTTTAAACACCGAAAGATAGACTACTTCAAGTAATAGTAGTGTTGGGATCAGTGATGGCCTCGACACAAATGCGGCTAGTTAGCTGTGGCGGGATACAAGTGAATGTTGCTGACTGGGAAGTACATACCTCGGGATTTTATGGTATGTGCCAAATAGCTTTAAAAATGAAGGGATCTGCAGAGATGCTTGAAAAATCATCACTTTTCTCGTGGTAAGGAACGAATTCAGGGCCATAGAAGAACTGCAACAAATTGTGTAGTTGGGCTAGTTGGTTGGTCATTTTGAAATGGTATCTGTCTGCTTCTTTTTATGTTTACTTACTGTACCATGCAGAAGTAAAATTTTCAGTCGTAAGTGGGCGCTGTGTCTGTGTTCTCTTCGTCTTTTTCAGCCATAGGGGGGCTCACACACCATTGGTTGGGTGGCTTGCAAACCATGTCGCTGATTTCCATTGTTGATGTGCACTTTTTCCCATAAAAAGAAACAAAATCAATCAAAGCATCAAGCGAAAAGTTCAGTGCCTAAATATGAATGCTACAAATGGAATATTTGGAAGCCTTTTTCAGCTTGGGCCATTCTAGATGGTTCAGTTTTATTTTCTTAAAAATTGCTTTGAGAAGCTTTTTACAGACAGGTGAACATTATACACCCAGGGTTCCCAAACCAGGTTTCATAGGCTGGTCTTTTGAATTCCGCAAGCACCCAAATATATATATTTCATTTTTTTATGGGAAAGTGAAGAACTGCATATTTCTACTCAAATGCTATGTATACCATGAAATACCCAGCATCCGCCGATTGTACACTAAGCGCCCACCCCTAAATGTTGTAACATCTAAAAAAATATGGACAGTGGAAATATAGATAACATTGATAGCATATCAATTGCCCATCTCCCACTTTTTTGCAATGATCTTCGGATTTGTAGAGGTGCCTGAGCGTTACTTTACGACATATTTTAGGGTTGTACAAATATTCTAAAATTCAGAATATTGAAGCGAATGACGCCGTATTCTACTCGCACTTTGAATTGGTGAGGAGTATTCGGCAACTTCAAATATTTTCAAAGTATTTCGTCACTGCTATACACTGCCGCAACGCACCGGTGTGTAGCGGTGAAGCGTGATGCATGCGTGGCGGAGCAAAGCACTGAAACTTTTGCGAGCACGATGGTGCAAAGCGGTAAAGCATGACGTGCCTGGTGCAGCATGAATGCTGCAGTATCAAGGAGTGTGGAAGGGGCGCAAGGGAAAGGTGGGTTCCATAGCACCTTTTGAAGGTTGCTAGGATTCCTTGTCACCAGAAAATTCGAGAACACTTGTTTGTAAAGGTTGAGTCAAGGTGCCGGATAATGCATTATCCGGCAATACAATTGGCGCCTCCATGTAACAGGCCAGCATTTCACCATGTTGCTCTTGTCGCCCAGGTGCAGGGCCAGATTACCCATATTTAACTGCTCAAATGAATAGGGCCCTCTGTGAGGGTATCCTCCCCTGACAGGGGGCGTGTTCCAAACCTTACTCGACTGGATCCCAGCTACTCCTGCGGGTCATGTCACGGGACATTTCAAGCTGAGCAACACCAGACGCAAAAAGGTTTTCGAACACCGAGGTATGAAACTGTTACTCTAGAGTGAGATTGGGTAAATTTCGGAACACGGCCAGATTGATCACAACCGCTGGCCATTGCTGAATCAATGGCAGCTGGCGTTGGCACGAGAGCACTCGACACAGAACACGCACAGTGGTCTGTGTTAACCGTTGCGTACAGCGTACATAAATTTTTTTTCTGCGTCTACCCTTCGCCGGAATATTCTGCAGGCTTGATTTGAAACAGAGTGATACGGTATTCATGCCCATGCGACTCCAAGACTCGTGGTGGTCAGCCCGAGCGGATGCTATGAAGCTCTGTTCGCTCAAGAAATTAGGGTCGCCTTGAGGGTCTGAAGGTTAAGAAGAACTAGCAGAGACATGGGTTATGGTTGAAGACTATGGGTATGACTGCAACAGTCGTAGCTTAATTCAGGGATAGAGTGTTGCAATGCTTCAATGCCATCAGAACACTACATAATCAGACGCTCACATTGAATGAAGCTGTAAACCTGACGAAATCATTGAGTGATTATGTATCCGGTCTAAGGAAAAGATTCAATGAAATGAAACAGGCAGCGAAGGAAACATTGGGAACTACGTACAAAGCAACAATCATAAGAAAGCAAACCGATCGGCACAAATGGCAACCTTCACCCTCAAGATGCCTCACTGGACTTGCACTGTGATACCAATATTGGCATGATTGACAACCTTCTGCATTCACTTAAAACTCGTTTCACTGCTTACAGCAAAGTCTGCCTACAGTTTACTTTTTATTGCCGACCGCGGCACACTTTCGTTGAAACAGTGGTGATTCCAGGCAATGGATAAATCTGGTCTGTCGGACGATTTCCCCGATGAACTAGAACAGTTCCTTTTATTTTCCGAAAAGGAAGGCTTCTGTAAGAAACATTCCAAAACTGTAGTCTGACAAAAGCTTCAAGGCTCATTTCTAGGTGTTCATGTACCCATTCTAGATTTTTATTTTTTTATGTTTACAAACTGCAGGGGTGAACAATCTCTCTGTAGGCCCAGATTGACATAACACAGACTTCGATCAATGATGGCCAATGACCGCCTCAGTGAATTGTCCTTGCGGAGTGTGCAGATGGATAGTTTCCGTTGGGTCGAAGTCCAAAAGTTTATAATCACGATTTGAACAAAACATTCGGAAGATCCCGTGAAAGGTAGACATGATAGCAGCTTCCTTGTAAATTGTAGATAATGCTGAAGACAACGGTTGTGCAAATATTCATAACTTTTAAATATTGAAGCGAATAATGCCGTAATCGATTCATACTTTGAATCGAATAGGACTATTTGGTAATTTTGAATATTTTCGAAGTCTGAAAATAGGTATGAAAAATGTTGCCCCCCCCCCCCCCCCCCCCCCCACCTCCCGCAAAAATTAAGATGCTTTGCCATAGTGCTGTCGTGTAAAGTGTGAAGCTTGATGCAAGCATGTCGGGTGAAGCGGTGGAGCTTTGTGCGAGCGCGCAGTGCAAAGCAAAGAAGCTTGGCATCCCCAACCGAGCTCGAGGGCTACACCGTGGAGGCATACTTGGTTGATATGATAATCTTATGTTATATTGTCTAAAGGAAACTGGCTTTGTAGTATCACAGAAGCCGCCGTCCTGCCATTTTACAAAGTATCTCCTCATGATCTTTTAGCTTGTTCTCAACTGGTGTCAGCTGCTTGTGCAAGCTGATGAAGCATATGGTGAAGATAACTATTTCGGTAGTTGGGACGATGACATGACAAGCCCAGTTGAAAATGTAACGAGATACATTATTCCCTTGAATGTTGTGCAACCAGGAATATATTTTCACGTGTATTTCGATGCTGAAATTCAAGTACTAACCCACAATCTGGTGTCCTGTATATTGTTACAAAGGGAATGGAAGACCTACATATCATAGGTAAACTGGGCTTGTGTTGCTGTACCGGTTCCTTGACCACCGCTATGGTTCTAAGAGTAGCCTGAGGCAGTTGTGTTCAGTCCCCAGAATATCAAGTAGAGTCACTGCCTGCGCTTTGATGGTCTCACACAGTCCATTCATGAGCGTGCATTGTTCTTACCATGTGAGACAACGCCATCAATTTTCTGGCAATGAAATGAACTCGCTAGCATTCCTCTTGCCATTGCAGATTTTTCAAGTGTAACTAGCCCCCCATAATGAGCTGAAGTAGGGTGGTAGATTGGGATAGTTGGTAAGAGCGAAACTAATCATGATGGAAAACAACCTCTCTTACAAAACAAAGTGAAAAAAAAAAAAAAAAAAAAAAAAAATTCTTTATTCATAAATTGGAGTTTAGCACTGCCACATTGTAAGGCTCTATCCCTCTGATTGCCAGCTGCCTGGTTGGCATGTGTGTTTGTGTTAATGTAATAAGACTAAAATGCTTCCTTTTCATAAAACAAACTACACTTGAAGGTCATCCATTGTTTTGTTGTGTTAGTGCCTTTACTTCATCCTTGTGTCTGAGGCTGCTTTCCAGTATTTTTATTCCATAATAACCATTTTTAACTGACCCTGTGTGCCTTCCTGGCCACAGACAAGCCACCCCCACTACCAATACCTTAACAGTGCATATGTACTGTATTGTCGGAAGGGGAATTTGGACACGACATTTTCACCTGTGCCAATGCCAGCGAGCACCTTTCCCTGCAATACAGCGGTGTCGTTCGGTGAAGCAAACCTATGCTGATCTGCGAGAGTATGAGAGTGTGCTTCATTGCGAAGTCATTAAGCTCTCAATTTAACTTAAAGAAAAAATGGGAATATATATACTCAATTGATCAAGCTATCTACGTTGCGAAAAGAATTTTAAATATGCTAAACGCATTTTTGTTTCGAAACCGGGGAACCAGAGCACGGTAACGAGAGTATGTTTACAAACATCCCGGCGCCATGTTGTAACGGTTCTCCGTGGATTTTTTCCTTGCGTTCTAAGTTTTGATGACGCCTTTCCCCGCTGTTATCTTCGTCGTCGCACCTACAGCCCTCAGAGATGGGTAAGTAGATCCGTGTACCGCGAATGCAGTGAGCATGTAACATCTACATGTGTGTAGGCGTTGTAAAATAACATCTACACCGTGGTATGGAACTACAGTCTCAAGAAGCCGAATGGTTGGGCATTCCGCGCGTACAGTGGCCTCGGAGCTCGAGATAGCATCTGCGTCGTGTGCAAGGAACATGGTTATTCGAAACGTTCAATTGAAACTGAAGATAGCGAAGATCTCTGTTACCTTGATACGGCTACGTGAAAGTGCTTCGCTTATCACGTTGGTCGTAGCTACCAACTGCGGGAGGTGCGCTGAGACTTTCTGACCGAGTTGGGCGCCTATTAGGACGCAGACGAGTTGATTATGATCACTGTTCTTTTTCAGTTCTTTTTCACGGGAGACAGACGTTTAAGCGTTCCGACACGTTATTCCCGGTGCCTACCGTGTTTTCAACCTGATTGACGCGTGAGACGTAGCAATACTTTTAATCAATTTCCAAGGCGATCAGAAAGCTCCAGTGCAACAGCTCCACGTTGGACGACACCTCAGCGAGCTGTAAGTCTGAAAACGACCGGTTTTTTTTTTTTTTTCGTTTGAAAGGCTTTCAGCGTCTGCGGGGAAACTGCCACAACATGTCGTCTGGGTTCAAACAAATACTCTTCAAACAAATCGTTGCTAAGGGCGTTGCTATGGGCTAATGCATGGAGGCTCCATATGAGGCTAGATTTTTGCTTACAAGTAAGTCAATAATTTTTTGTAAGCAATCTAACTTCTTGATATCTAATTATGATGTTCTTGTCGTCTCTGTGTCGTATTGCAACGAGGAAAGCCATTTCTGAAGTATGACACTCCGCTTTGCTTTGATAGCAGACAACACAATAGATTTGCTGGCCTAACTCTGTTGCAGCGGGCGTCTTCATTGAATTGCTTCTGTAAACCAGTAACAAAAACAAGTGCATCATCATGACCGTAAAAACCTCCGCAATGTGCCTTTCTTTTTTTTTTTTTTCCTTGTGAAGAATATAGCTTTGTTCGGAGGGGCGAAAATGCCGTAAAATCAACCTACCTCATGCAAATCGGTTACGACGACGAACCGAGGTGCATTACCGGCGTAGTGCAGGCCACCATGAGAAACAAATCTTACGCCTTCGAGGTAAGTCGTTTTTATTATTATTATTATTGAGGCTTGTACTAAATACTAAATTAAAAAGCTAGTCCAAACAGGAGAACATATCAAGAGCACAATGAAATCATTAAAGATATTTAAGCATAAACAAAATAACCGGATAGCGTATGGACACAGGCATACTTCTGAACGCCGTTTTACCATAAAAATATTAAGGCGCATTCACACTTTTGCGACCTCTTAAAACTGGGTTTCTTGAAACCTCTCACGAGAGGACACACTGGCGCCATCTATTGGATAGCAGTGTAAACTTGACAGTCGGGCATATTTTCTATTTGTCGCGCATTATCCTTTCTTTCTTGGCTCGAAAAGTTTTGTCAACGTTATAAACAAGCCTTTCTGATAGACAGACATGCTGTTTACAAACAAGCCCGCATTTGCCCACACCAGGTGTGGGCACTGCGCGTGCGCAGAAACTGAATTCGCGTGACTTGAAGCGCCTGCGCACGCGCAGTGCCGTCCACAGCGCCACCGCAGCTGTGGACGGCACCGCAGGTATTACGCACATTTGACCTCGAAAATACTGCAAAACCTTCGCTCTTGTTAAATGCAGTTCCAGGGTTGCTGCATAGATGGCGCCAGCATGTTCTCTCATCCCAAGAAATTTTAAGAGGCTTTAACAAGTCTCGTCTTTCTCAGTCGTACTCGGTTGCAAGAGTGAACGGGCCTTAAGCGCCATTCACAGTCTTGTGGCCGAATAAGACTAGACCGGTTTTTGAGCCTCTTGCGATCTCTTAGGATCGGATGCGCTGCAGCGGAGCTGGTCCCAAGAGATCGCAAGAGGCTTAAAAACCGGTCTGGTCTCTCTTGGGGTCGCAAGAGTGTGAACTGGCCTTTAAGACTACCAAAAGTTTGATCTGGATTTTACTCTCACTACTACTTGCATGCAACTGTTTTATCAATATTACAGTAATAAGATATAAATATACCGCCAGATTTTCAAACAATATGACCGAACAGAATATGGGTTTTACGTGCTCTTGGTTGTGTTTGGCCCTTTTTTTACATCAAGGCAACTGTCCGCCAGTGCTACATGTACTCACCTTGTTTTTTATCCAGTTCTCTCACGCTTTGGGGTCTTGCGGGAATCTGAAGAAATTGCAAGGACCTCTCTTCACGCGATGGTTACAACCAGGTATGAAGCACTCTCACATAGGACGAGTCCGCAAAAAAAATTTGGGATCTCAACCGATCGCCTGAAGTGCTTTTCTCACAGGTGCAATGCAACCTTTTAGCAGACAATCACCTCGATCGACGACTGGACTTTCAATGAACCGTATTTTGCATTGCACCCCACTATGAATTCTTATAAGTGTCTGAAGGTCATTATATTTCAAACAAATACAACTTCAGAATATAGTCTTTATTCACACGATTCCAACGATGGTGCCAGCTTGTGGCAGACGGCATACTTCTTGTGTTCGTAGTCCGCTGCAGGCATCTTGAGGACTGGAAGTTGCAGTTGTAAATATTCCAGAAACAAGCAATTATTGGCACACTTCTGTCTAAACATATAAGACATTCAAGCTTTCTGTATCTGTGAATTTTAGAAGTTTAAATCCTACTCCTGATTTTTGAACAGTCTGGTTTCCGTAGCAAAACCTAGCCACATGTATTTGTCCGCAACATCGACCCTAGCAATGGTTTATTTGGACTCATGACGTCACAGTTACGGAGTCAATTGCTGGCATCCATAACCAATTGGCCCATTATTTATTACTTGTTCTACAAACCCAATTTTTTAATTGTACTTTATTTGCTCAATATTTATCGTAAACATACCCAAATCAAGTGAAAATAAAACATGACTCATTAATTATTAAGATTGCTGATATGTGTTTGCAGTGAACAATTTTATGAACCTCTTACAAATATAGGGTAGTCCAAGTCGCCAGGCTCGATCTAAAATGGACTGTAAAAATCGACGCCTGCACGTAGCAATCTAAACTTTTCGTCAAAGGTGTATTCCACAGGTCAGTTTTTTCTTGGATAATTACAAAGCATAGCCAAGAAATTTGCTAGGGTCTACGGCAGGCAGTGGCGCAGACGACAGGGGTCCAGTAGGGAGTGTTTGGTGTTCGTGTTGACAGATGGCGCTACCTCCTCATAGCGAAGGCTCGCGACCACCATGGTTTATTAAAATTAAAGACCTTTTTGAAATGTACCTTCGGTTAAAAAATTAATGCCGATAATAAAAGCAAAACTTAAAGTAAAAGGGAAAAAAATGCGTCCGCATAACGACGGTGCTTTTGCTGTCAACGGATATTGTCTACGTGTCATCTGCTGCACTTTCGAACGCTGCTCCAGATGCCATCTATCAATACGAACGCCAAGCACAACCCGCTAGTGGACTTGGTCGTCTGGGTCGCTGCCCGCCGTAGACCCTGGCAAGTTTCTTGGCCTTATTTTTTGTACAAAGAGAACTACGCTTTTTAATTTTACAAGAAAAATGAAAGCTGTTTACAACTCCCTGTAATGTCGAATTAGAGCGCAGCTCTTGAGGAGGAGGAGGAGGAGGGAAGGGTACTGGGGGGGGGGGGACACGTGACCTTGGGGTGTCACGTGACGTCGGGGGGGGGGGGGGTCACGCGACGATGCTGATGACGTCATCAGTGACCTTCACTATTACCTTCACGAGTTACCTTTGTTGCCCTCACGAGGGTCACGAGAGTTGCCCTCACAAGGGTCACGATGGTTATCCAGGTCACGTGGCCCCCCGGGGTCACGTGACCTGCGGATACCCCCCCCCCTCCCCCCCCCCCCCGGGGTCACGTGACCTGCGGATACCCCCCCCCCCCCGAGGTTACGTGACCCTCCGTTGACATCATTGTTACTGATGACGGCATCAGTGACGTTACTGATGAGGTCACCGGCATCCGCATCGTCATCATCAGCGATGGTGTCATCAGTGACGTCACTGATGACGTCATCGCTGATGATGATGACAATACGGATGCCGGTGACGTCACTAATGACGTCATCACTGATAATGACGATGGGGATGCCGGTGACGTCATCAGTAAAGTCACTGATGACGTCATCAGTGGCGATGGCGTAGACGGGGTATCGGCAGGTCACGTGACCTGGATAACCATCGTGACCCTCGCGAGGTAACCCTAGCAACCCTTCTGAGGGCAACTCTCGTGACCCTTGCGAGAGTAACTATCATGACCCTCATGAGGGTCACCCTTTTGAGGGTAACTAACCCTTGTGAGGGTTACGAAGGTTAGTAACCCTCGTAGCCCTCGTGAGAGTAACCCTCGTAACCCTCACGAGGGTTACTCGCGGTTACGCCGACGCCGCTCGAGCCGGGAACGGGCGCCTAAGAGCTGCACTCTAAAAAGTGAAAGCCATTTACAACTCCCTGTAACGCCGAATCGGAGCACAGCTCTTGAGGAGGAGGAGGGAAGGGTACTGAGGGGAGGGTAGACCCCTCCTCCTCCCCTCATTCTTTAATATGCTCCGGGGGAGTCACGTGACCTCGGGGGGGGGGGGGGTGTTCACTGAATATAGGCAGAATATAAATATTGCATGTTCGTCTCCTGCCTTGTCCCTAGAAGTCCTCTGTGCCACACACTAATGACTATAATGCATCCATGTCCCAGTGCCTTAGCAGGCTTGCGTCTATTGCGTAGCTGGTTTGGGAGATGAACCTGTCACGAATGTTCATCCCCATGGCATGACAAAACCTTCCAATAAACTTCTTGCCCCACCAGCCTTACACTGTTCAGTCGCCATGGAGATCTCCGAGGTGAGACACTAGTTCCATGCCACTAAATTGCACAGCCCTGCGGTGAACAAATCACCCTGTAGCCTTGCTGACATCTCCAAGGTCACCGGTCTCGAGGTCCAGGTACCTGCACATAATCAATAATTGCTGTAGCAAAAGGTGACAGAATCCACCAGCGGATACTACACCACAGGCACTCACTACTAATTGCCAACACTTAAATGTACAAGACAACTCATCTTGAAGTACAGAACAGCGAGCGGAACAAACACAACTGCAAAGGAATCGCACGGCAAACAAATCCCGCAATGCATTTCGTCTGCTGGGCGTGGAAGAAAGAAAAAAAAATTGCATGGTCAGGTGTAGCCACGTGACTTCCGCCACTCACTTTCTCCTCTCGACTTCTCCATGTAATGCGGGGGTTTTGGTTTCAAGCAGTTGCGTTTTTTGGCTTGATTAATAAAAATATGTGACTCTGTAGCACAATATTAATTAAATAGTATTCAAACGCCTAACAAAAAATTGTAAAAAAAAAAAAAAAATTGTGGGGGGGGGGGGGGGGGTTGTCAGTGTACCTTTAAAGTAAAACAGAGTATAGGTACTGCCCATGACTGGGTAAGACAGTTAAAACAAATTCTGTTTTTTTGGAGCAGTTCAGGAGCAGAACATGTACATTTTGGAGCAGCTTAGGAGCACAAAAGTCCACATTTTAAGGCAACCTAGAAACAAAACAATAAATAAATAATAATAATTTGGAGCTACGAAATTTAAAGTAAAACATGTCGCAGCAAAAACTTATTATATAAAAAAAAAAAATGTAAAAAAAAAAAAAAGTTATGGAGGTATTTTGGTGCAGTTTCGGGCAATTTAAGGGTGATTTTGGGTAAGATTGACCGAAGGATGGCTGGTCAACATTTGCAAGTCAATTGATATTTTTATATGTCATTGCCTAATGTCCGGTGTAAATAAACATGTTTATTTTTCATCAGAAAAAGAATCTGGGCGCGCAAGAAATCTTAGATCACATAAAGGTAGACGGTCGCATTCACGCGCACTATTGGAGCAGGCATCTTTGAAATTAAATAACTAAAACAATAACATTAAGAGAAGACTAGTACTGTTTAGAAACAATCAATCAGAAACAAAGAAAATTATTTTGACATGGTTGGTGTAACCATTACAAATTATTTTGTTAAAGGGACACTCAAGTGGATTCTGATACCGTCTATTTATTGTCGTAACTCAATCTATAGGCTCTAAGCATCCTAAAAAACCCGAAATGAATTCAAGGCTGGTTGATTTCCCTATCGAAAGCCCAATCAAAGATTGTGCCACGCCCCTCTTTCTGCGCCGTGGCGCAGAACACCAGGGGGTGCCACCAGACTGGAAGGCAGCAGGGGAGGGCATGCGACAGCCAGTCACAAGTGACGGCTTCCCGCCAAACTAAATTTTTCGAATATGCGCGCCTTCGAAAAGTCAGTCCGCCGGGAAACCGTCACACGTGATTTACTGTCACGTGCCCTCCCCTGCTGCCTTCCCGTCTGGTGGTACCCCCTAGTGTTCTGTGCCACAATGCAGAAAGAGAGGCGCGGAAAAATTTTTGATTGTACTTTTAATAGGGAAATCGGCCGCTCTTGAATGTGATTTCAGGTTTTTTAGGATGCTTAGAGCCTATAGATTGAGTTACAACAATAAATAGACGATCTAAAAATCCACTTGTGTGTTCCTTTAAGGTACAGGCTCCCATATTTCGCAGGCAATCGATCGAGCAGGCCTGTTTAGCATTTTTTGGAAGAAAAAGTGTATTGTCATGAATTGATATTATTAAACTTTCCAGTAACATGTACCCATAGATTGTTCTTTTATTTCAAAGGTGCCTGCTCCGATAGAATGCATGAATGCGACTGTCCACCTCAACATGAATATGGTTTGTTTTGTGACCCCAGCTTTTTTTTTTTTTTCTGAAGAAACATAAATGTGGGTTCATTTATTTGCAATGCCAGCCCGCCACTCGCCCTCTTGCTTATGAACAGAGAACCAGAGGAGCGGGAGCAGCGGCGGCGGTGGGAAAAACGGTGGCAGGGACTGTCGGCCTTCATGTGTGAAGCAGTTGTAACGAAAAAAGTGAGCATGTTAAAATAGGAATTCTTGTGTTCCGCCTTGCAACAACATTGCACAAAAAACCGCGATGTCTAATTTCGTTAGGGACTTTTCGTACATCGCATCCGCTGCGGATTTCTAGTCTTGTGCATGGCCGCCAGCTCAATCTATGCTCAACCTGATTGCAAACGCCCCCGCTACTAGTGCAGAGCTTCAGCATACAGTCTACAAAAAGTCTATTCTTTGCCCTAAGTAGGAAAAATCTGGTCACGCAACAGTATGTCAAGCAATACACATCAAGAATGGGTTTGCGTTTCAAGTCCGTTACAAGGAACATGACCATTTGTTTCAAGCCTCTCTTGAAAGACAGGATATGCATACTTGGTTTCAAGTAATTACAAAGGAAATAAAGAAATGCTCAAAGAATTTTAAGTGTGTCTGTGTTAGCCAGCCGTTTGTGACAAGAGCCAATGATATTAGATTAGCTCAGTTAAGGAACTGCTCATAGACGCAGTATGGACGAGCCGTACCTCCCCTCACTCACCACGACTCGCCTCTCGTCGATCAAGGCGCCACACGGCTGCTATGGTAACTGCAGTGTATTTTATGGAATACATGTGTTTTGAAGCTCAGCGTCTAGATGGAGTTCCACAGCCCTCTATGGAGCACACAGTTTGTAAACGAAAATCTAGATGGCGCTTCGAACGACGGGAGGCGGACTGAAGCGAGTGAGGGGAGGTACCCCCTTCTACGAGCGTTCCACAAGTGAGGTAATCTAGTAACGTTGACAAGAGCTTAGGACGGGCAGTTTTGCCGAGAGGGACAGCAACGTTGCAACACACAACAAAAAATGTATGATATATTAAAATATATATTTTTTAAAGAGCGATAAATAAAACCCCTAAACACGCCAATTATGTTAATAGGCAGTTTCAGCATAGCGTTACCGCAGGCTACCGTGAGCAAGGCAACGCTCCAGGCATGAGCTGAAAATTGTTCTTGAAAGACGCAGTGCGAGCTTCCGGTTGCAATGCTACACCGCACAATAGCCTGTGGTAACAAACTTCCTATCAATAACCATACAGCCGTTTGATCCACGTGTTGCAATGCACTAAAACCTAGAAGGTGAGCAGCGAGTTGCGAGCCTGTGACACGAAGAGATCAATACTGTGAACGCTGCTCTTCCGGAGCTTGATGGTCACTGTGCACGGCTCACTTTTTAGAGCACTAATGGCCACCATTATCTTCATCACCCTCAAAAATATGTTGCCACAAACAGTGACGTGGTTGGTGCGCTCGCACACCACAAAGCTTCGCAAGTTGGGGTTTCTGCAACTTTTAAATATCAGTATGCTCGTTTTTCTACCACGCATCAATATCTCCGTCACCTGTAATATAATCCTGCCCTAACTGCTTCGCATTTGCAGACAAATGAATCATTTTTAGCGCACTGACAAGCGTGAACAAGCAGGTGCATGTGAAATCCTGAAGAATCTATCTTCGTCTCTTCCGCCATCTTGGAACTACCACCGCACCACGTATGGGGCGTTGGAGTTGCAAATACCGGATATTAGGCAATGACATAAAAATATCAATTGAATTGAAATGTCGACCAGCCACCCCTTGGTTGATCTTATTTGAAATCACCCTTAATGTTTTTGGCACAATTCAGCAACAGTCAATATGTTTCAGTTCTGTAGAAATCTTCATCACATAAATTACAAATTGGCAAGGTGTATACACCGACGTGCGGCGTGTTCTGTTTACCAACACGGCAGGAAACCTGCGCATGCGCAGAAGGTATGTGGACAGAAGCGGCCGAGCTCTGTGTTTTTGCCGTTGCAGTATGGGGTGTACGTTTGTTGGTTAGGCTGCACAAGGTGCCTGAACTTCATTTGTTGTGGCATTTTGTGCCAACGTATGTGATGCTAGACTATATGGGCTAGCTACCGGACCTTGAACGGCAGTGATACAGACAAACTGCATTGATGGCATTGCATAGACAAACTGCGTTGATAGCGTTACCTTTGACAATTCTAATGGGCGCTTCGACAAAAAGTTGGTGCCACTAAAATCGATGGCTCATGTCGTCATTTATATGGCGCCTTCAACAAGCTAGTCCACAACCGGCATGATTCAGTCATACAAGTCTCTTGATTTGTAAAACTACAGCAGGAGTATGAATGCGGCATAACCCTTTGAAGGAACAACATAAATTGCTATCTTGACCTATCGTGGTATGATTTACTACAGAAGTGATCTAGATGGTGCATTAATTATATAAAAGTTTGAGCCCCCCACACTTAAGGAAACAACACACTTTATGGGTGAATGCCTACTCCTTTCTGTGCAATATCATCAAACAGCCTTTTGGGCCACCGTGGCGTTTATTACGACTGAAAAACTGAGGGAATGGGAAGGAAGTAAACTTGGCTTATGTATTTTCTGCCTCCCTTTGCCAAAATAGACAGTGGCCTAAAATGTAATTTGGTTTTCATGCGTAAACTACAAAAAAAGTACTTTTTTTTCTTTTTTTTTTTGTTCACTAAGGTGAGCTCTGTTCAATAATATAGGTAAAAATGGCCAATTTTATAAAAAAAAAAAAAAATGGATCACGTGCAGGCAAGCTGACGGTTGACACCTAAAACTATGGTCAAAAAAGGAAAAAAACAAAAACAAAAAAAACTAGAAGAGATAGAAAAAAGGGAGAGGCAATGTCTCAATTATATTCCACCTGTGTGCTAAATTACATTGGTCCAAGCTGTGCACGTTATTACTTTGTACAAATATCACCAATGACGAGTCACATTCGTCCACCCTCATGCTGTGCTGCTCTCTGCGTCAAAGACAAGTTACGGTCAAAAATTGGTTTCGGTTTCTGTTTTCATCCTAAAAAGGCGCCAGAAAAAAAAAAAAGTATTTTGAGCTTTTGCAATGTGTTTAGCCTGACAGCAGTTGTTGGCCTGGCAACGTGGATTTAAAAATGGCGACACGCATGAGGAATGCTAATGGCGGTGATGGTCCTCAGAAAAAGAGCCGTTTCTTGCAGCAGTTCGGACAGCAGCGATGCTGAAGACCCCGAATTTGTCTTCAGAGTGAGTCTCACATTGCCTGTGAAGACAAGACGGCCTCAGACAACGACGAGAGTGACCATGATAACGTGCTTCTGAAGACTTTAGATAAAGTAGGTCGACTCCTTTTACAAGAGGTAGAACAGGTTGCAGGGAAACGCATAGGAATCCTGCCACTGAATGTCAAGAAGGTAGTGTTAATAATATTCCTTTGGCATCTGGGTTTTCATACATAGTTTAAAGTGGATGTTATGTTAATGAGTGCATCATGGAGCATAAAAGGTGTGTTCTCCTGCTGTCCCCAAATTCAGAAACTAGTACATTTACAAGTTTGCAACAGTTGTCATCCCAATTGGATGGCCACCACGGTGATAAGCCAAGCAAGATCAGTTCAAACGTGTGGTAAAAGAAACTCTTAGTATTGGTTCTGCTGGAAATTGTGTAAGTGTCTTGTTGATGGTAATTCACAAGCAAGTACAAACTTTTTGACCAATGCAATTTTTTTGTTGTCAGTTGGTTGACCTTGGTATGTGTGGAAGCGTCGAGTGCATTTCTTCTTTTGTTCGCCCTTGCTGACAGTCTGGGTGTGTGACTTGGTGCAAGGGTTCTTGGCGTTGATTGCAGTATACCGCTATAAAAGGGTGTGGTTTTAGAATAAACCTTCAGCTGTGTTCGAGACGGTGTGTGTGTGTCATCCTCTTTTTAGTATCCTTTTTCCTTCCGGTATTTCAGGTTTTCGTCTGCAATTCACCAGCTTGCCTGTACTTTTACTCTCGCTTTTTAAAATGCTGGCAATTGAATCTCACCTAGCCCGTTACAAACTATCCCATGCACACAGGGATGACTTACATGATTATGCTTCCTGTAGCAGATCCTCATGCTTGTGGTCGCCAGTGGTCACTCCCTCTTGGCTCACAAAACAATGAAAGTGATTATAGGCACTTATTAGCAAGAAAACCATTATATCCTAAAGCATATAAGTCACATACTAAAATAATTTGGTATGTCGCGGGAACTGCAACTTTTACATTCTTGTGCAGCAGTATGCAAAATAAGAAATAAGCATGTAACAGGCAACTTGAGGTAAAATGGTTACACATTAACTTAGAAATAACCTGTATAATTGAAATTAAATTGGCAAGCTCTGGCCATTAAAACACTTTTCCAATTAAGACCAGCTCATAACATAAGCTACCTGTTGGAGAATGGCGAGCTCGAGCACCTCTTGACATTATCCAAAGTGGAAAAAGCTGCATATTCTCAACAGTAATATATAAAAAAAGTGCCAGTTTCAGCGAGGGGCACGCTCATAAACGAGCATTTCGAGGCGCTATGGTTACCCGTTAATTTAGAGACAACCGTTCTGCATCAACTAAAATAAAATTGCCAATTGTTAAAAAAGCGTTATGATTAAGGTCAGCATATAATGTCTCGCCTAACGTAGCCTGTTGAAGGATGGCAAGAGATGCCCCTCTTGCTTTTAGCTCGAGCATCTCTTGACATTCTCCAAAGTGGAAAGAAATCCAAGCTGTCTAACACGCCATTCCTTTTTGCAAGAGGAACACTACCCCTTTTTTGTAGTCCAATTGACAAAACTACTGATTTGCAAAGTAGCCATGCTCCTTGAGGGCGAGCAGACATGCTCGGAACATCCACAGGGGGCTGAGCGGATGCTGCTCCTTCTGTAGGAACTCACCTGGCTACAAGGCCCTCCGTGATGTGCTGCTGCTCCAAACTGGTGGGAGGTTTGCCATGCATGGGACCAGAACCAGGGCGTTTCTTTTTGGTGGGAAAGCACCGTGGTTGTTCTTCCATCTTTTTGTTGTGGGGGACAACCCTAGGTTTCGGAGAAGTCTCATCGGGAGCAGAGTCAAGTACTTGGGCCTTGGTACGGTATTTCAACACCAGGGAGCTTGAAGAGCTTGTCAATTTCTTCCTGGAGAGGGACTTGTTCAGTCCACTCATTGCTAAACATATGTTGTCCTCTGAATTTGGTTGAGTCTTCTTCATCCCTACCTCAATACCCTGCCGAATGTCATCCAAGAGGGACTGTGGCTCATCATCTTACGTAAAGCCTGTTGCTTCACATGATGTTACTAGCATTTTTACACCTGGCTTAATGTCAACCTCCTTAAAGGGACAATTAAGGCAACTTCGGACATCTTTTTGGCGATTGAACTGGGTTCCAAGCACGTCTCAGGCCACGTTGCCAAAATTTCAGCCGAAACCGGCGCTCGTGTGCCGCGCAAATCAATTAAACAGTCGCGGTAATAATCGTACCGGAATCGACTGGAGCGACGTTGCGGGAGAAGCCAGGAGAAGCGGAGCTCACGTGACCGATGCGAGGCCAAGAAGCGCGACGTCACAAGAGACGCCTCAGCGATTGGTCGAAACGAGAAACGCGCCCTCGGTCACGTTTTGGTTCTCGGTTTTTAGGAATACTGTTCTAATTTCCGCTTGAGTAACCATGAAAAGCATAAATCGAACCGGAAATGCTCACTAAACCGTAAATAAAGCAGCATAAATGTTTTTTTCTTTGCTACGCTGGACGCGAAACGGCCAACGAGCAACTATGGGCACTTCGGCATGCGGGCCGCTCGTTACCGGCTGGGCGGTCTCCCTCAGGTGACGGCGGAGGCCGCCACACACATACTCTCGTTCCGTTTGTGTTGGGTTACTGAAAGGAAGCTCAAACTCGCTCGCGAGAGCGGCATTGCCGTCCATGTTGACAGATTCGACGAAACGACCGCGCCACCCACCGCGCTGCTATAACCCACCGCGGTAACCAGAATCTCGATCTCTTAAATACTACCAATACCGACTATTCACACTTGACGTCACCTCCGTTTTTGGAGGTTTAGAAACGAGAAGGGAGATTGTTCAGTTTCGGTTTCTTTACTTCTTTTGTAGGCACAGAAATACGCGTCACAAATGGCTACAAAAAATTGGGCAGCATGCTATGTTCCCAAGAAACATAAAAACACCATTTAAAAAAATTAAATAAAATTGTCTTCATTGTCCCTTTAACTGTCGTCACATGAAGCCCCAGGTAAGCTACAGCATGAATATGCTTGCACATTGATGTTGAAATCAGGCTGTCATTGCAAGTGCACTTGTAACTGTCGATAAAGATGTCACAGTCCTTGCAACGGAGCATGCAACTCTGGCAGGGGTCGCCCTTCTCAACATGGTAGCTTCTCTCTGCCTGGGACTGAGACTTTACAAGCCAGCCATTGCCATTTTGCAGCTGCTCTACATCTGATGCTGGAATTTTCATCCTCTCCTGGTGCCTCCGAAAAAGGGCTGCATCATGCCAATCAGTTTTTCCTTTTACGAGCGACTCGAGACGCTTGTAGAGGCGGTACTGGGTCAGTTCGAAAAGGGTCATCAACAGCTTGTCGAGGCTCTGATTGTGAGTTCCATGTAGGTAGTGTGACTTCAGGTCCTTGTACGTTGCCTCGAAGTGGTTTGTAGTATTAAAAGGAATGCCCTTTCTGAAGCAGAGCGCCCACTGTTCTGCTCTGCCACCATGGTAGTGCCCAAAGTACTGAACAAACTCCTGTACTTGTTGGATTAGTTTTGGGTCAGCCTCTCCACTTACAGTAGTTTCTGACAGAGGAAGCCCGTCAAAGCTCGTTGGAATTGACCCTCATCTTTGCAATTTCTCAGCGCCCACAACTCGTCGCAAAGACGGTCACGGGCTTGCTTATATCTTGGAACGACTGCAACTTCAGAGCCCAGTTGTGGCTTACATGCCAGGAGCAGAGCATCCAATGTTGGGCACAGCCCATCACTTCCTCCCATGCATTACCTTTATGGCCTTAAGGAGCGTTTCATAGTCTTGGTGCCTAGTTACATTGAGATCAAATATGTGCATGGCATGCCTGACTGATCTTCTGCAACTGTCATGAGTCTTCATTTGCAGATTGTGGCCATTTGTATTATGAGTAGAGTCAATGCACAGGAACTTGGGGCCAAGCCAAGCTTTGTGAGGAGTTCTTTCTGAGGGACAGTCATCAGGGCAAGCTCAAAGCTCTCTTTGTTTTCCTTCTTCCATGTCAGTACAGGACTGGGGAATCTGACTTTGTTCAGTTCCTCCACTGATTCTTGTGCCGTAGCTCTTTCGTCAGAATTTCATGCTCGACGGAGATGTTGCCAATGTCTTTCATTGAGAGCAAATGTAGCCTGCCCACCTCACTGCCAGCGGAAGAATGTGTGTCTAGCAGCACTTTGCGGGCGGGGATGCCTTGCTTTAGTTTATCAGCTAAAGCCTCCTTCTCAGTCGTAAAGAGGCGCTGGTGCTTCAGTTCCTTCAGGTGGCCGTAGTGTTCTGCCTGGTACTCTACTGTCACCTTGCCATCTTTCTCTGTTGCTTGAATTGTGGCTAAGCATTGCACATTAGTCTTACAAGTGCCCTGGGCTCTCAGTTGTCGTTTACCCCTTGCTCTGAAATGATCCAGAGCGGTGGCAGTAGCAATACATTTTCAGGACACCCTCATCTCGTCCCTTGGGCCCGTCGTGAAGAACGAAGTGAACGTGCTCTCTGCCTTCCTCAGCCTCCCTCCAGTCACTGAGTTCTGGCAGGCAGAGAAGAAAGAAAGCTTAAAATGAAATGGCCTGAATTAAGAGTGGTATGTCAGTCACATCATATATTCCCCTGCTTTAAAACATCTTCATGTTTGTTTCTCTAAATGTACATCCCGATCAGACTTTTAGCTGTAGCATACGGTCCATGGTTTTTTCGTGCTCTTAAAGCCCACATAGTAGGTGCACTCCAAAACACTACGGTCTGCAAGAACAGGTTCACTGCACTCCACATGTGTGGTGTTTGCAAGTGCACCTGCCATGCAAGTGATGGGAAAACAAAACAAAAAATGTTTTGCACATTCATAAGTTCAATGCAAGTGCGCACTACAACGGAGAGGGAGCACAAGTTTCATTGGCTCCGTGTCGACCGCGCATCTTTCACAGAACATATTAAATCTTCGGCTAACCAAACACTACGAATTTTATTCGCGAATCGAATTATCCTAGAGCTTACTATTCAATTTGTATTCAAATATTAAAGTCTTCATACACCCCTAGAAAAGAGTCAAGTCCCATCATAGTGGCAGTCACAAGAGCAGCTGAAAAACCCCAGTCTGTTGGTACCATGTAAACTGCAGACGCGAGATATATGCTTACCGTAAACTTCTGAGATGCCCCGGCCCCGAAAGGTAAGCCACCCCAGTTTTTGGCTTCATTTGCTTTTTTTCTTTTAGTTAGCTATGGCGGGGTATAATGTGTCTAGTTGTAGTGTCGAGTTAGCTATGGCGGGACATAATGAACCGTTGCCGACTGGCAAATAGAGCCATTATTGCTTCACACTGCAAGTGAGCACACTCCTTATTTTGAGCAAATTTTTTATTGATTTTAGGTGGGCTATCTCTCGGGATATTAGGGTAACACTATGACCCCTCTGCTCCACTCCCCAGGTAGCCATACTCCCATCATACATATCTGTGGCAACAGCCAAAGCCGCTACAATCAGGTGTGCCAGGTTTGTGCTGAAGCTTATGTCCTATCCACAAGCTTTAGCGTCGATGCACGAGAACATGCACTAGCTGAAGGAATAAAAATTTACATTAGATTTTGTATTAGAAAGGGCTCAGACGTTCATTCAACTCTTTCTTGACCTACCATACCGTAACGTAACGAGGAAGTATGTTACCGCACAAACAATTCAGTGCTAAATCAATTGCATGTGGTAAAATCCTCCTCCAGGACGTTATAAGGTAGGTATATATGCTGGAAGTATGGCTATACCCATGCACAGGTGTGCTTTAGGAGGCGATCCTGTTGATGTCCTGATGTGAAAGTCGTGTTTGTAAAGTAACATGGCTTAAAGAAAGCTGAAGTGGAGGTGAATTCTTGCCTGGTTTTACCCCATGAATTCAAATATGACAATTATTTGGTGAAAAATTATTGGCAAATGCAAGATATCCATGTTTCCCATTCACCAATTACGACGTCAAATATAGGTTTTCGGCTACACTGCGTCAGAGCCATATATGGGGAGAGTTTGGTCAGTCTATGATCTCGCCGCCGTAACGCCCTCCTCCCAAGTGAGCCAATCAGCACACGGCGCAGAGCGAGAGGCATGAGCGCATGCATGTGAACACCCGGCTGCTCCCAGCTGAGCGGGGAGGGCCGCCATTTTCGTTCATTCTCCCAGCGGAATGCATGGGATCGGCATCTATATCACGATTATTTCCTTTTATATTGCTGGCTCTGGCAAGAAAATGATATACTGTTATTCCTCAGTGGGTTAAAAAGCTAATAAATGAAGTTTTCTCACCGTAAGGCCACAAACGTTTATTCAGGCGAAGAAGAAGTTGGCCCGTAGCAGACGACGCATAGCCTCAGCAGTGCTCTTCTCTGAGCAGTCCCTGACAGCGTTGCGAAAAAATGGCGGTCTCCTCTCTGCTCCCTTCTTTCTCTCTCGCTCCTTCGGCGCTCTCTTCCTTTCATTTAATTTTCTCCTTTTCGGCGCCTTCGTTGCCACACCCACTGGCCAAACTCTCTCAATATACGGCTCTGCACAGCGCATGCCACTCCATAAGGGGTCCCTTTCATTTCATTGAAACTCGCTTCGTAAAAGTATGTTTCGTGGACAACTTTTCATGGACACGCGTTTCGTAGACACAATCGTTTCATTGATGCTTGTTATGCGAATTGCACGCTGTAGGGACATTTCATCTTGCGTGTATCACTGGGGTACGCATTAACCCACCCACCCACCTGCCTGCCTGCATTCACGCCGCTTCGCAGCGGCTCATTACAAAAATGTTAACCCACCTTACCGACACTGCATGAGACTGTCGCAGTGACAGTCTCATGCAGCTTATTACAGAAAAAAACGTAATCTGAGCTGTCGATGAAACGTCACGCAATGAACTGATTGCCACTTCTCCAGGAGTACTCTGAGTTGCATAGCTTTGATCAGTGCAGTTGGTGCGCAAGCTTTTTGAGGACCGTGCACCTGCAGAACAAAAGAGCTCTGTATACGACGTCACAAACTACCACTTTGAAAGCACTTTTCAGAGGGGAACGAAAGAATAAACTCGTACCGCACAGCAAGTTTTAAAGGGATACTTCAACGGAATTTGAAATATTCCCGTCGTGTTCAGAAATAGGTTGAATATGATCCACAATATCC